GTAGTGCCAGAAGACCGAGGATTCGGAAGAACACGATACATCCGATCACGACGCCGAAGTTGCGGGCGATAGTGTCGTACTCCATGCCGAAGTACTCTTCCGTGTACTCCTTCACCGTAATGTGACCAACATCAGCCGGAGAATCCGCCATGGGTGGCAACCGAGGTTCGAGCCAATATTCTCATCCATTTTTCGTCGTCTCATTCCACGTCGGCAACTCGTCGCAATCGGCGAAAACGAGCGCCACCATGAACGACAGCGGAAACTTCATCGGCGAGATCTCGTACACCCACTGGTAGCCCGAGGGGATGGCGTACGCCGGTGGACTGGATCTCATAACAAGCTGAACAACAGAACTCCGATATTAGCAGCCACTTCTTCGCTCGGGAATGCGTAGGCGAACATCATTCCCATACACATTTCCATGAGTATTGCGAGCGACAGGATGGGCCAGAATAACACGGCAATGACGAAGCCTTAGAACATTACGAACGGGTAGAATATCACGGTCAAGATCAGCGAGCTCATAAAGCAATTGGGGATCTCAGCCAGCGTCGATCCCACAAAGTACCAGAACGCGTTGTACATATCTGACGCACGCTCTCGGTAGAACGAGGCATGTATAGAGCACGACAGCGGCAGGACACTCTGGAACGCTTTCATGCAGTTGAAGAGAGCGGCGATGAAGATCATTCCGACACCCGAATTTAGTCCCGAATATAACGCGTAGTCGACGTCTTCGAAAATAAGTCCGAAAACTACCGCCAAGATGATTGCCAAAAACGTCCGCGTCAAATTGTACGCCAGTACATCTGGATGTATGGATAGCGCCATGCACACAGGAAAAGCACGTAGATGGCTACAGCGTAAATAATCCACTTTACACGAAGCAGAACCCCGAGTACAGGTATCCGATTCGACAGGTTTTAGAGAAACGGCAGATGGACGAGTACTATGTAGACATGGTTAATTATAGTATTGGTAGGACACTCGCGCGTTGGCACTCGTCTGCGGACTTAGCGACGGCGCGGCGGGGGGAGGCCGCGAAGCGGGCTGCCCCACCCCCTTGCGCTTTACGCTAAGTCCTCGACTCGGCCAGGCGTGGTGCCTGGATTAGATTGTAACTTCCTTTTTGGTATAACTACTCCGGGCTACGCGCCGACCATTGCAGCCCTACGCTTCGCTGCGGGTCCAAAAGGTCTCTAAGCCCTCATTTGGCATGAGTTTTCATTCGTCTGACCCTAGAAACGAAGGAGGACCTTCAAGTGTACTCGACGTTCTTCCACTTGTACCGGTATATCGATGATTTCTGTCCAGTTTTTTAATATATTTTAAAAAGTTAACTGTACTCGGGTTCCCAAACTCGGGATCAGTCAGAGAGAACGAAGAATCACATGCCCATCGCAAGGCTCATGAGGAACAGGATCACTTCGAAAATGATAAACTGGGCCGCATTTGCATTAAGCACACAAACCCAGTAGACCAATGCGCCAAAATTCACCGTCTCCCGCAGGACCCAACGCGATCTGACTGGCCGACGTGGCCAAAGAGGACAGAAGCTGTGCTGAAGAAATTGGCGCCGCGGTGTTGTAGAAAAT